TTTACCGATAATAAAGTAAAATAATAATATTTTACATTATTATAATTGTACATTCGCATATTTCACAAAACCACAAAACTACTGTTCCTTCATAAATTATTACTTACATCTAATGCACTAGTGGCAAAAAATGTTCTTGTACCATTTACGGGTGCCGCGCTAAGCCCCGAGAAAGTTGGCTCCATTGGAGTTATGCACAGTGTTTAAATAATTGTTAAACTGCACTCGCGCAGCAGCACGCGTGCTGCTACTGCGAGAGAGATAAAATATTTGACTATTACGTAGATGGATTTCCGGGTGTCCTCTTGCTTCTCATTACGAAATCGTCTGTAATATATTCATATTGCCATTGGCTTCCTCCTCCTCCTCTTCCTCCTGAAAGCAATCGCAATCGTTCGTGTCACAATCAGACTGTCTTTAAACAGTGATTCGGGAGAACAGTCGACTTACTTCGTCGAAACCGAAGCACGTTTCCATCTCTTTCTGCAATTTCGGGTCACTCTGCGTATTTTGAGATTTGGGATTTTCCAATTTAATCTCATCCATGTCTACCTCTTCCTCCTCTGTACCAGCGACAAGATCGCTTCCTTGACTCAAAGGATCTTGCACCATCAAGTCTCCGTCTTCGTTTGCTACGACAGCCATTTGCTGAAAAGAAATGAAAGAATCAGATTTACGTCGGCACGTGAAACATTTGGAATCGTGTTAACGGGTACCTGATCGTTTCCTTGATTGTCAGCAAGTTGTATAACTTCTAACACGACGTATTGTTGGCCGTCGCTTCCTTCAACAGCCATCATATCGTCCTCATCTTCTTCTTCTTCTTCGTAACCTTTAAGTTTAGAAGCTAAATCACCTGTTATCACAACATAACACTCGGATATTAGTCAATGATCTGTGGTCAGATCATATCGTAAGTGTCCCTGTGATTACAATCGTTCAGTCAATCATTCATCGTATATGTGTAAACGGTGTTACTTTGTTCATTTCAAACACGTAAATATCATCTCGACGGAATGAAAAATTTGAACAAATTTCGATTGTAAACATATATGTGAATCTTTTTAATCCAGCCTTTATACTCTTACGACAATATGTTACCTGTCATGACCTCGACCCTTTGTCCATCTATGATCTGAATCTTTTTTTGTCTCCCCATCTTCAATGCCTGCTGTTTTTCTTGAAGAGATGATTCCGGATCGTGAACGGCCATATGTCGAATAAGATTTCCTTTATGTCTGAGGGAGAAGTTTTTATTTATAGAACCTTTCTCCAGTCTCGTTAACATGTTTACCTACCTGAACGGTCGTTCGCACTCAGGGCATTGATGTGTCTTCTCTTGTGGAGGTGGAGGAACATAAGAAGGATTATGGTACAGATTACAATGCCGTTTGAGGAGTTGTTTTTGTCTGAATGATTGAAAGCAATGATCACATTGATATGGTTTCTGATCGGTGTGAATTAACATGTGGCTTTCAAGATGCCGCGCAGATATAGAAGCATACGGACATAAATCACATTTATAACACTTTTCTCCTTCGTGAGTTTTACTGTGCAATTTGTAGCTATATCTACAAAGGTAAAAGGTATGTGTTTTATGTTTGCAACGCACCAGTCTTCTCTTTCTTTTACCGTTCGATATGCGGTACAGAGTTATTTTTATGTACTTACCGGTCCGGGAATGTTTTTCCGCAGCGTTTACACTTCAAAGGTTTGTCAGAAGTATGCAATTTTTGTACGTGAATTCTGAGATCTGTTTTCCGTCCACACGTAGTAGGACATAATTCACATTGAAATACTGGTTTATCGCCAACTGTAATATTCGTAATACCAAGTGATATATTTGAAATTAAGTAAAAAATTCTATTTATCAGCTACATACCATTGTGTATCAATTTGTGAGCTTTCAAACTGTTGGACTGAGTAAACCGTGCTTTGCAAAAATCACACTCGTATGGTTTTTCTCCTGTATGTATACGTAAGTGTCGCTTTAGTTTAAAGGTATCAGGACTTGCATACGTACAATGCGGACACTGTAGTAAAAAAAAGAATAATATAGACACAGATTTCCGATTTAAGTTCGATTTCGTAGTGCATATGAATTCTTTCTTTTCAAAGAGCAGAAAGTATTGAGTATACCTGATACGGGCGTTCTCCTGTGTGACATCGAATATGACGCTTGAGTTTAGATAACTCGACAGAAGCATAATCACATTCGTGACATTTATGTGGTTTCTCGTGGGTGTGCCTGTATCGAACGTGTCTAACAAGTTCACCTGTAAACGAACATTGACAACAATTACTATGCTTTTTCGTGTATGATTTATAGGGCTCGATGACCGAAAATAATTGATGATAGATGAACAGATTGCGTATATACGAAGAAGTCTATAAAAAAATGATGACTCACCGGAAGTCGTGAATGCGCTATCACAGAATTTACAGTGATGCGGTTTGGTCCCAGTATGCGTGTTAACGTGATTCTGCAACGAAGCTAGCGTTTTAAATCCTCTTTCGCAGACGCTACACTTATGCGGTCTTTCCTCAGAATGCGATTTCATGTGCCGCGATAACAGATACCTGTATGCGAAACGTGTACACATTAAAGAATCATTTACGAGTCGATTGAATATTAGGCTCTCGGATGATGGAAATTACCGCTTAGGACTTGTGTAATTACAGTAATTACACATATGAGCTTGGGTGACGGTCTGAGACTTTTTAGGTAAGAATTTAATAATCTTTGCTTTGTCATCTTCCACTTCGGATTCCACAGGTGGCTCATTGTCCTCGTTATCCTCGAAATCGTAAACGGTAAGATCTTGTTCACCTTCGCCTTCTTCGCCTTCTGCTCCTTCTCTGACCACTGGTTTGCTACTTTCCTTCTCTTCGGACTCAGGTTGCTGAACTATGAATACGTAACTGAAGTCACCCGAATTTGTATCTGATGGTACAATTGTCACCGTCTGATACGCATCCTCAGAATTGATTACGACCTGATTGTTCTCATTACTAGTTGCTTGCCCCTAAGACAGAACAAACGTTTGTACCCATACGAGTGTCACACTAAATCTGCATCTCACTTACATCCTCGTCTCCATCTACTTGTTCTAGTTCCTCAATTTCCTGGTACTGCTCTTCCTGAGCAGCCTCCCCTTCAGCTTGTATATCTGTCTCTTCGACTTCTTGAATTTGCACCTGTGTCATCACAGGCGTCTCATCGCTATTTGCTTGATAATAATATTGACCAGACTGGTCAACGAAGTAAGTCCCACCCTCTTCTCCACCCGACAATCCTTCCACTTGTTGCACTGTAATTGAATGTTTTAATAAAATTCATGCTCCTTATCAGAGATGCAAGAATATTTCTCAATTACTGACATTGCACATGTTGCAATTGTTCTCCTTGACCACCTTCGATTTCTTTGTTAAACGTCTCTAAATAAGTTTGTATCTCTGTCACAGATTCTTGCTCCTCTTCTAACTTAATAGTCGCTACGTTACTTGTCATGGTCAAATCATTAATTCATATGTGTACTTTCATTCATTAATCTGGAACATCAACAGGCACATCATTCATTTGATTGTTCAAATAAATTGTCATCTTAAATGACATCCTCCGCGTGTTTGTCCTTTGTGTCACCAAAACATATCCAGATCAATTGCATTCTATATTGTTAAAAAGCATGTTTACACCAGTAGAAGTTAATACTATATACATAATACATATGCATATGCAGTTGCGATACACACAATTAGTACAAACACTATAGGAGATATGTAGATATATGTATAATCTATACTATGTAATTCATTGATTTAGATAATAAGTTATCAGTGTAGTAATGCAGACCTTGAGGCGTACTGTTTCATAGATATATATGAATGAGCATTCTTAAAAAAGTGAAGCCATTTAGAAGAGCGTTATCAAAGAAATGGGATGAGACCCGAGTATTGCGTACGGTCGAAATTTCGTAAGAATTCGCAGGTATGATCGTTCGTGAATCTACGAAGACACGTGCATCCATACGAAGATTTGCCGCCGATTACCACCGGGATACGGAGGGTACTACGAGAGACATAGTGGATCGAACGAAATTAAAGGAAAATCAATATCCGGGTGAAGAAATTCAAGGTACGTGGGAGCAGGTGAACGAAGGGGTCGGCGAGTGATCGGCAAGTCGAAGCACGCGTTGGTATCCCTCGTGATCCAGACATCGGGGGCGTCATAAGAGTTTCGCGAAGTCAAACGGGATTGACAGGAGCGACACGCGCTGCTGTGGAACGCCATGCGACACGCGGAGCGGATAACGCGAGCGAGGATGACGCCATGAGCGAAACGTGATCGGCGCCGTGATGGGCGAAGGCGAGGGCGAACGCAACGGCGAGGGCAACGCGTGGAGATACGTAATCGGGCCTCCAGGGTTCCGTAACCGTACACTTTCATCGGGTACCGGAGGCCCCGAGGTTGCGCATTCTGTCGGAAAGCTTTTAAGACAACGCGGGTGCTTTCGATTTCAGGACACAGGGGGCATTAACGACAAAAATTTCAGAAAATTATCACCGTCGGCGCTGTCATCAATATGGAGGACGCAACGGAAGGGAATACTGTTCGTTCTGCTACGTGCTGCTGATAACTCACCGATGTTTCACGTTCCTCTCACGGCCGGCGTATGCTGATCCTCTCGGATATCGCTGAAAATCGTCTTTCCTCACACGTGTTCGTGTTTCCACGTCGCGCTGGACTCCTTTGCAACACGAAACCTCGAAATATTCCCTTACCTCATAAAGCCGAGAACGTTCGTGTGAGGGCGTTGTGTAAGACGCGGAGGACAATATGGCCGAATCGAACTACGAATGTTCAAATGCTGCGCGTTGGTAGCTGCGCACTAGGACGCGTCACTCGTCATGTTTACACCGGACGACCGTCGTTTTACTCACTTCCGGGCGTTAAACTAAACCCACCTTCGCTCTTGCCAATTCACTTTTTCCATTATCGTCCATCGGACCTTCGTCTACCATACCGCGGTTCTGATCGCCGGAGCCTCGAAATCCTTCAATTTCTGAATCCTTTCGAATACGGTCCAACAACTGTCCTCGTATACGCATGAGTAGAATACATTCCAACGAAACAAAAAAGATGCAGTTCTGTACGAAAAGAGCGGGAAAAATGCACCTCGGGAAGGGGAAACTATTAAAAAGTGGGGGAGACCAACACCCATTTACATAGGTGAAATTATTGTTGCTTTTTCCTAAGTGGTTACTAAACGACTGACGTACATCACCGAAATAAGTACGTTGATCAGTCGAGCGTTTCCTATGTATTTACAAATCTTCCTATCAAATTATCTGTGCAAATCTCTGATTACTCAGTATTTATTTAATGTATATATATGTACATACTATAAAAAAACTTTTATTTTTTAATATCTACGTGTTCTCGGTTGCATTAAGATAAAATGCACGTACGTGGTGTATAAGGGAAAAAATAAACTGTTCACATTAAATATAAAGATACTTAACACATTTTATTAACGTCAAGCTTTTATGAATGTACATAGTAAATAATTATAAATAATGATTATCCTTGTTAAACATAAATTAATAATTAAAGTTATTATTATATGCCTGTAGAAACGAAACAAATTCCTACACTTTGAAAATCTATAATTCGTGACACATATGACAAGCAGTAGGTTGCTCCACGGTACTTTTTATATCGAGTTTCAAAATATAAACAACTATTATGGCCATTGCAATTGTTACTATTACAGAGAATAGTAGTAAATGCTTTATAAAAATGACGTCGCTATGTAGCTTTGCGTTACATTCTTCCAAATGTACAATCTGCAATTGATCAATTCATTTATTAAGAATACTGTTTAATATTCTGTCTCTGTATAACAGTATGCCTTACACTCACTTTACGAGTCAGTGTATCGGTTTGTCCATTTTCCGACAATCCAGGCGAAAATATCGATCTAGACGTTTCATTATTTACACTGCCGCCGTCGCAACATCTCAGTCTATGCTGTTCCGGCTGTTTCTCGGACTACAAAAATATAAATCCAATGATAAACAGACTATATACGTATTTTACGGACAGTTTATTACCTTCCATAGCGCAGCCAAATCTCGCGTCGGTGTATTTGGATCTTTTAACGGAAGGCACATAACTAAAAATCTGTCAGCGTGTAAAAGCCCGCGAACGTTATATTCCTGTTGCAAAATAACAGAAATCACCCGTTGCTCTTGTGGCAATAAAATTCCCGAGCTTGGTCGTACTCGAAATTTCTCAGGGGACGTTGTTTTTATCTGTAAGTGATAGCAATTCTTTAATTGTCCTTCAATTTGATTAAAACACACATTGAGAAGGAAATTGTACTTTGTAAGATAAAGGCATGGCAGAAGACATATTTTTCAGCGTAATTGTTCCACCGATCTCATTCCCAATTCTATTAAACACAATCGCGTCTGGTTCAATGAATAACACTAAAAAATATTCCTGATTAACTTTCTTTTCAACGGTGGAACATGGCCTTCGTTACTTACGTTGCGCTTCAGTTTGCTGTTCTCCGAAACTACCGGGTGATTGTTCTGTCATTGGAGAATTCTCTGCAAAATGCACCTATAATTATATGAAGAAAGAGGATTCATTCACAACTGAAATTTATCGCTAATTATTCGGTACTCATAGCTTGAACAACTAGCTATGTACCTTTCTGCTATTAATTTTACCATTCAGTGTAGCATCCATATTGTTTTGTGCTTCTGGTACAAATTTGAAGACGTATTCATTGCTGCCGCCCCAGCATGTAAGCACATCGTTAGGATCGACAAATTCATTGATACTGCTTTTGTGTACGAATTTTATCTTCGGTATCGCCTTCGGTGGTAGCCACGATTTAATTATTTTAAACGCGGTGTTCAATATCCACGGCATCTCGAATATGATGATGTAGTTTAGAAAGTTGGGGTAATAGTTTTTACAAAGACCGATAAGGTACCTGATAAATTCCATATCCATGTTAGATAAACCGCTTTCTGACATATCAAAGAAAAGCGATATTTGATTGCCATTAGTTTCTCTGAAAATAATAACAAGATAGAATTAATATATAAGAAAAAGAATCATCAATTTATTTGTCAATTACCTTTCTAATCTTTCGAACCAGTACACGACAAGTCTTTGCAACTCATTGAAATCTTTGCTGCCTCGAGTGTGTAATTTACATCTAATAACAAACATCGTTTTCCCATCCTTATCTTTGCCGTGTATAAAACATAATCCAACATCTAAATATTCCTTTTTCACATTATCTTCCGTAATTTCTGCAATCAGGTAATATTGATACAGTGCGTCGTTGAAATCTCTCAGCTTATCATTTCATATACAAGAGGCACGTGTCAATATTTATTACCATTTGTACCAAATTTACTTCTCCAAGCGCAAGTGTCCCATAACATATTATAGGATTCTTGCATATTATTCTCATTGTGTTCCAAAAATCTTTTCAACCAATTGTTATTCTCTTTTACCCTCGTAACATCTGCTGGATGGAACTCTGAAATTGCATTTGTAGAACAAAATAAATAATAACTGAAAACAGTTGGGAAAACATCTTCGTGTACAAATGCGTCCTTGCATCACACACTTGATCAGTTAAGTACGTAGAAACGATGAGATAAAGAAGTTATGAATTATTTATTAAGAAAAAAAAATTTCTACTTTTCATTGAACGCGTATCGAAAGCAGGCGACCTTGGAATATGAACATGACGCTAAGCTCGGATTCGATTACTTTGGCTAGCGCTCCGACGATATCTCTGGTACAGAAATTATGTTTTAGGAAATAAAAATGATACACACTGGGATCGGGCGGCGTCTTAAAAAATTTCTCCCGCAATTCCGTGATCAACTCCGGCTGCACTTCCATCTTCTGTTAACCTGGTGCTGGATTGACACTTTGACCGGCAATGAGCTATATGACACGAACACACGATAACCAGACGATAATTGTTTATCCGGACATCAAGTCTGCGCGTCGAGAGGCGCGCATACTGTGCTCGGACTTTATATTCAATTAATTGAACTCATAAATTCTTCCTTCCAAACGCCAGACGTCACACTTTCCCGTGGACGTAATACACTGAATCACACTGAATGATCTGTTTCAATGAGGGGAGAGCAAAGTCTACCCGAGTCAAACTCGCTTCCGGCTATGCATATGATTTGCAAACATTTGTAAAACACACGATACAGATCCGATGCAACGTACGAAATATTTTCTTTGAACCTGTATTATATATTTATACCGGCTTGCTGTTTGTCAGTCGATATATTTATTTATTTAAGCTCGACTTCCACGGGTATATTTGAGAAATACGATTCATTTTCTAATGGGGAGATA